GAGTGGCTTCGCTCGTCTACGGGATGAAGGGGCTTGATATGGGAGTGGAAGGGAGAAGAAAAAGACATAACAAAATTATTTATTACTGCTTACTCTCTCGTACTTATAGAAGGGTATGGAGTGACTCAAACTAACCTCATGATAAGGTAACAGGTATGGTGTTTAAAATCGGCAAAACAAAATCAAATTGAAAAACAAAAAATGCTCACAATATTCACTTTTACACATGTAGCAACGGTATAACACATATTATTTTTATCAACTATGATTTTACGGTTAGCGTTATTCTCATTGTTTGCAGAAACTATACATTTCTTTATATTTAGCATCGCATGGATACGGATTTTTTTTCGCCGTATTTTTTCACAAATTTCAATACAATTTATATCTTCATGTGGAGAAAAATATACATACATCACTTATTGGTAAAATTTGTTTGCTCTTAAGTAAGAATGTGTTATCGGGATCTTTTGTAGTCAGTCAATAATACTTTAAACTACAATCGTTTTACCGTTGTTAGATTTAATGCTTCAGGTGTCAGTTGTCTGAATACCGAGGGTATTATCAAACGAATTTGCCTCATCGAGCCCCCATAAGGTAGATTTAATTGTAAGTATATACATGTGAGGTTTGCTCCTCTAGGCCCCTATGAACAACCCATAAGGCAATCCTCATTTTAGTATCACCACTTTTTTTGGTGGGGCTTTCATAAGGAATCTATTGGGCAATCCATATATCGGCATGCCCCTTGTTTGCCACATGAGGCTCGCACGCTATATGGACATGCCCCTTATAAATTCTAGTCGTGTAGTAATGGTGTACAGCAACACTTACCGGAATTTGTGGCAAGGCAACTGAAGGAGGGGCTCCTAGGGAAACAGCAATTATCGGTTACTGTGAAAGCTTTAAAAATAATTAAAATTATAGTGTTGTGTTCATAATTATTACTACTGCAGAGGAAATCATAAGTAAACTATCAAGCGAACAGAATACAATTTTCTTAATTGAGTATGAATGGCTTCATAATTAGAGTTCGGAATATATGCACTAAAAAATAGCAAATATAAGCATTCAAATATGCTTCAAAAATCGTCAAAATATGTATTATTATATGCATTAATATGCATTTATATGCATTTAAATTTTAAATAAAACACAAAGAAATTCTGATAACATTTGTATTTATTTAAATTACAATATCATAACTTAAATGTTTTTCTAAATTTTCCATACTGTTTATGTTAATTAATTGCTTAAAACCCGAATATTTATAACATATAAAAAAACGACAGTTTGTAAACAGAAAACGTTCTTTCCACTTCGCAAGAAGTCACAGGTGCATATTTAAAATATGGCAAAAAATTAAGCAGAATTTCAGGATTTTGTGTCGTTGTATGCCCTTCTAAAATGCTGTTTATGTTAATTAATTGCTTAAAACGCGAATTTTTATCGAGTACAAAATTGAACTTATTTTTAATTTTACATCCTTTAGAAGAACAAGAGTCAATTTTTTCTTTAGCAGAAATAAAAGCATTTATACTTTCGCTTAGCGACAGACCTCTAGTTTCTAGTTTTTCGATACATTTTGAAAGAAAAACAAAATTAGTTTCGATATACGCTAATACATGAGGATTATTTAAAATAGTTT